AGTTACTAACGCGTGTATTTTGTTATTAGAAAGAGGTACGAGGCATCCAAGTAAGTGTTTTAATTGATTGATTGATATTATGATATAGAAATCATGCTTAGGTTGTTATTATAATTCCTAATGTCATATTAAGGTGTTTTGATCTTCCTGTATCATGTTTAGGGTAATAACTATAATTTCTAATATCAAATATGACAATTGTGTTTCCTGCGATGTTTACTATTTTCTTTTCCTAATAGCATGTTAGTATCATGTTAGGGATAAAGCTTTAATTTTTATTGTTTAATGACATGCTAGGGTTTGTTATTAATCTTGTTAGTATCATGCCTAGGATCTTGTTATTATTATGCTTTAACATGATTATGATAAATATGATTATTTTATGATGATTATTATTATTATGATTATTATTTTTATAATAATAATTGTTGATTATTATTATGTTGCTTGATATTTATTGTTATTGCTTGATCACGCCTTTTATGCATGTTTAAAGGGAATTGGTACTTGTAATCACGCTTAATAAGATAATTAATAATCTTGTTTAGGGTTAATTTGATTATAATTCAAGTGATCGCCAATAATAGTTTTGTTTGTGCATTAATATTCAACCAACATAGATAAACAGGTTTAGGGTTAATTTTGTTGAGTGCATGTTAGTCAGAAAGCGCACATGAATACGATCAGAATAAAGTAGAGGCATATTATTAAGGCAGGTTCAATCTCTTTTAGGTTGGATTTGTACCTTTATCCCTGAACTACCAGTCATGGTTCCAGACCTATTAGAGTTGATGATTTCCTAGATCGTTAAGGGGTGTAACCTTCACCTCGTGAATGGTTTACAAGTTCCTAAAACTTGTTGGCGACTCTTTTGCTCTAGCTTCCTTCCCTTTGGACGCCACCATACTTAAGTGTATGATCACAGTGGGGTTCAAGCTAGGGATAATGCTTGAAATATTCCCTACAATAGTGTTTTTGGCTCTTTAGAGCCACTCTCATTACTAATTGGTGTTTTCTAGTATTTTCGTAGTTTTGGTTGAATTTTGTAGGAATTTGCACTTTTGGAGCATTTTCCTGGGATATTATGGAGTGACTACGAGCATTGGAGGAGCACGACCAGTTTTTGTAGCCCAAGGCCGGTTAGAGTCATCAAACCAGTGATTAAGGGCTTAACATTTAAGATTCCGAGGCATTTGGACCGAGTATTCAAGACCCGAAGAGGAAATCCGGATTGAGCCGAAGAATCAGAGCCCAATCGAAGTCCAAACTTGCCCAAGTATCCGGGCCCGGCCAAGTAAGCTCCCGCCCGGAGGGGCGCCCGACCGGGCGAGCTTAATAAAGAAAAAGAGTCAGCGCCTGAGTTCGCGCTCGGTCGGGCGCGAGAGATGCTCATATTGGAAAAAAGGCGCGGGCGCGAGATTTTTAGGAGCTAATTTCAGCCGAGTTTCTTAGTTTTAATTAGGAGTAATAATTTTTGTATAAATACGATTTTAATGTTTTTGTTTAGTATTTCCTCTCTTAGACTTTCTCTCTCTACTTAGTCTTAGATTATTTTCTCTCTCTATAACTTTGTTCACTACTGTGTTCTTAATTCAACTCCTGAATTCCAACTACTTTGGGTAACGATTTCTTCTACTTTAATCTCAGTTATTTACTTTATTTATTTCATCATGTCTTGTTTAATTGCTTTGATTAGTTTAGTTTTAATTATGTCTGAGTAGTTTTCTTTATAGGGTTTATGGAGATCCATAAATAATATGAAGGGGTAATTTGTTATTGTTGATTATTGATATTGCATGATAATTTCTTAGTGAATTGTTTTAATGCTTTACAACCAGATTATGAATCGAGCAGATGTGATTTTCTTGTAAAAGTATATTAATATTGAATTGATGAATCGAGCAGATGTTAGTTTGATATTAAAGGCTATTTTCAATAGGAACTTAAATCTAGTAAATTGCGAGTTGAGAGCCTGTTAGATCTATGTTGATTAATAAATTGCGAGAGCCTGTTAATCACGTTATTTGTGCGATGTTAATTATTGATTGTTATGTTTTACCCTAGAATATTATTTATTGGTGAACCTATGCCCTAGGCCTTTATTCCTTGATTTTCTCTACCCTTAATCTTAGTAGTTTATTTTCCCTTCCATATTATTAATTTGTTACTTAATAATTTAGATTGCTTTAATTAATTAGGAATATAAAGACCAATTTCCTTGTGGATTCGACCCTACTTCCCCATCTGCATTAGTTAGAGGATTTAGGAAATACTTTTTATTGGGTGATACGTCTTTAGTCTGTCACTACCCTTACATATATTTGTTCAATATAATATTAAGACAATTATACCCCTTAAAATGTTTATTTACTTATTTCTCTCTTTAATGTTGATTGCCACTTTTTAAAATTTTTAAAAGGCAAAAACTAATGAGTGCCCTAGGGGCGTTAGATGAGAGAACTAAAGGTTGAAATGTTATAGTAATATTAACATTAATTACATCGATCGTTGTGTGTTTGTCATGCATTCCGAACTTAATACTATTTTAAGTAATACATTAATCCCTTGTCTGACGTCCTGGGCGCTTGTTAGCAAGATCCTTTTAAAAATAGCGCGCAAACATTTAAACCCTAAAAAAAAAATACTCCCTCCATTCTTGAAAGTTGGACTCACTTTGCAATTGTGCGGTATATAATGAAAATCTTTGACCATGAATAACTTTGGCTATGTATAAGTCTAAATTATACAAATTTGATATTTGGATTATTTATAATAAGGAGAATTTAATAAGATCTCACATGCTAATTTATTTCTATTGTATTTGTATAGCTCATAAAATATAGTCAAAGTTATTTTATTTTAACCACATGAATAGTGAGTCGAACTTTTAGAAACAGAGGTAGTATGTGTTTAAATATTTCCTTCATTAATAATGTTAACTACTCCTTCTGTTTTTTAAATATTTGCTACACTTTTCTTTTTCAGCCGTTTTTAAGTACTTGCTACACTTTTCTATTTCGGGCGTGTTTAAATACTTGCTCTATTTCCTTATTTGTACAACTTTTACTCCTTCCGTCCCCAAAACTTTGACCCTTTTGGCCTAATTTTAGTCCCAAAATGATCGAGCCATTTGCATCAAAATACCCACCAATTTACAACAATATTTGTGCAAAATTAGCTTCCCCATATAAAATTTTGATTTTTCATGTATTTTAAATAATTTATCTCTCTACTTTTTTATAAGGAAAAATTGCTCCCATTAATCCGAACTTTGCCTCGTCCGTCCAAATTAATCCCTACTTTGGATTATTCCCCATCACTCCCAACTTTAGGGGGTATTAATTTTTATTGCACCCAAATGACTTGCAACCGGTCAATCAGGTAAACATTTGTGAATTAGTTTTTTTTTGCACACGTGTCAATATGTAATTGGTTGAAATTTTTTTAGAGAAAATAATATAAAAACAAGAAAAAAAACCCCAACAACCCTCCCCTTCCACCACCGCCACCTCCCCTTAGCTTCTCTCAGCCCCAACCACTAGCAGCGCAACCCAACCACCTGACCAACACCACAAGAACCCGTGGCCCATCTTGACGCCGGAAGCACCCCCAGAAACGGCCGAAAACGACCACCAGAAACGCACCCCCATTTCTCCTTGAAAACGACCACCAGAAATGGCCCAAAACGGCCGAAATCGGTCGAATTTCGGGCTGAATGGTTGGTTTTAACCTTAAATTGGCCAATTTTGGTTGTTCGTGGCTAATTTCGGGGGTGGGGGAAGGGAAAGGGGTGGGGTGGGGGAGGGGTTTTCGGAGGTGGGGGAAGGGAAGGGGTTGGCGATTTCCGGCAGCGGGGGTAAGGATGGCAATTTAATCCGAGTTCGATTCGAATCCGATCCGATCCAAAGGAAAAAAAATCCGATTCGAATCCGAATCCAATAAAATAGATCCGAATCCGAATATGAGGTGGATCGGACTTGGACCCTACGCAAAGTCCGACGGAGTTCGATCTGAGTCCGAATCCGAGAGTATAAGCATATGCTCTATAACTTTGGACAATTATTTGCTTGTTTTGTAGCAAAATTTTGTTATGTAACTTAGTTTATAATTTAAATATGTTATATTTATACTTTAATTGGTATGACAATATAAGCAATTATAGGTATATGACATTACAAAAAATAAAAATAAAAAAAATATTCAGATCATTTCGGAGGTCCGTATAAACGGCTCGGATTCGGATCCAAAAATTACGAGTCGGATCGAATTCGGACTTGGATTTTTCGGATTCGGACTCGGATTCGGATCCGAGTCCAGGGTCCGTTTGTCCGTTTACTAAACGAATCGGATTCGAATTTAGCCATTTTCGACCCGAATCCGATCCGTTGCCATTCCTAAGCGGGGGAGGGGTTTTTGGGGATGGGGCCGATTTTCCGGCGGGGTGGGGGTGTGGTGTTTGTCGGGCTAGGCATGAGTGGTTTGTGGGTTTCTTTTAGCCAATTATAGGCTGACACGTGTCTTATAACCTGTATTATTAGGTTAGATGACCGGTTGGGTACAATAGAAATTAATACCCCCTAAAGTTGGGAGTGATGGGGAATAATCCAAAGTAGGGATTAACTTGGGCGGACAAGGAAAAGTTCAGATTAATTAGAGCAATTTTTCTTTTTACAAACCTCATGTAAATTTATCTTTCTTATATGTTTTTATTTAACTTTCTTAATAACCGCAAAATCAACCCAAAAGGGTCGAAGTTTTGGGGGACGAATTCTCTTCCTCCAATTCTTTCTACAACTTATGTTTTTTACAATTTTTTATTCCCCACTTACCCCACTGTCTCTATATTTTATTACTTTCTTCAATTTCTCCTAAAACTCCGCACATAGAGAAATGAAGCAAATATTTAAAAACGGAGAGAGTATTCTACTAAAGCACTATCATGACAAAAGATCAAATCAAAAAAGTTTCCCGAATATGGCTATCTATGACGCGCATTAATCTTCTATTTTATAAAAAAAGAAAAAAGCAAAATGCACCGGCCAATTAAATGCGCTAATTCTATAAAATAAGATCATCACCGTTCACCAATATCTTTGTCAACGACATTTCATCAAAACGACATTCATTTCACATTCCATAAAAATTGGACCAACAACAACAAAAACATAAACCCAGAACAAGAATCTCTTACTACCTTTCCCCAAAAAACAAAGCTACTAAAAATGGAAGGAGGAGACAAGATTAAATTGGTGAAATTGAAGGCAATTGAAGCAACCCCTGAAAATTTCAAAGATTATGGTCAAGTTATTCAATCTTCTTCTGATGGTGAAGAATTTGGACCTCATGATGCTCAACTTGACCTTTCCCGTGGAATTCCCAGGTCCATTTTCTCTCTCACTTTACTTTTTTGTTGTTGGGTTTTTGTAGTTTCCTCATTCTTGCTTGATTAAATTGCTGTAATTTTTTACTTTTTTTGATGATTAAATTGCTGCTAATGTTGGGTTTATCAGGTATTCTGTTTAATTTTATTGGGTTATTTTTATATTGGGGGTTTAATAATCTCATTTAAATTACAAACATTGGAGTTATTTGTATGAAAAACTTGCAATTTGTTTAACAATTCATTTTAAACTTACTCCATAATTAGGATTTTGGGTTTTTTTTTTGGTAGTTTATCTTTTTTGTTTATTTCTCGTTAAATTGCTGCAATTTTCTATTGCCTGAGCTGGGTCCTGGGTTAATAACTTAATCTAACTGTTACATTAATTTTGTTGGGTATTTTTAGTTTGAGTTTATAAAATTATGCTTGATTTTACAGCATTTTCTGTTTTTGTTCATGTAAATTCTTTCTTAATAAGTATAATTATTGGACATAAAAAGTCATCTTTAAGATTTCCAGGTTAATTAGTTATGTTGAAATGCAAGCTTTAATTAAATGGGTACATTATGCTGCTTTAATTTAGGTACGAATTGAGTTATACAGACATTATCCTTTAATTTGTGAAATTTAAGTATATGGAGAGTATTGGTTTCACATGTAGGTCTTTTAGTTTGTACAATAAAAAAACTCTACTTAGCACTTATTATTTATCACATATGTACCAACCTAACATTACTTTAATTGACAAAGATAATTTAAATTAAATCAACAAGAGTGTGAATATGCAGTTTTGTTGGGAGGGAGAAATGGCTCATATTCGTTGTTTTTGCTGGGGTAGTAGGATTAGCTACCAAACTGTTAAGTATATATCCACACCATATCAATGTATAATCTCATGTTAGCAACTTAACATAAATTATCTTTAGAGCCGCCTTACCGTAATTGTTTGATTCTTTTTGTGTTTACCAAGTATATACTATAAGCGGTTGGTGGGTCATTCTAATGATAATGAAATAATTTCTTATTAAGTTGAGATTGTTCCAATGACCCATGTGGCAAAGGATTTTTTTTTTTTTTTTTTTGGTTTGTAGCAACATTGTATTCAATCTTAAGGAGTATTACCTAGAAAATGTATTGAAAACTTGAAATACCTAGCACATACTAATATATTGTATTGATTGCCTTATGAATGCTAAGATTGTTAATACGAAGAGATATGTCATATATTCATATGAGGGAAATGATTTTTCTAGAGATACTTTAGTCTGAACATTGCTTCATGTAAGGCATTTCATTGGTAAGCGACTAAACGCGCCAAAGGTCCAGTATTCTACAAGGTTTGAGAGTTATAGATTAATGTTTGAGAGAAGACAATGTTTTTTTTTTTTTTTTTTACCACTGAAACTAGATTAGTGGGATGATTTCAATCACATCGAAGAAGATTTACTTTCATATTATTGCAATCGGAGCTCAGTTGCTAGAACACCTCTTTATAGGTCTAGGTTGTACTTTTAGCAAAGTAAGTGGATGGAACTGATTATTTTTCTCTTGTATGGTCCCCATCTTGATCTTGTATGAGAATATTATAACCATTTTGCTGTAGTTATCAATCTTATCATCCTGATTGTATGTGTTTGCTTTCTTTTGCCATTGATATGTACATCGTTGGAAACTTAAGGTTTTGCTGCAAATATTTGTTTGTGTGTTATTCTTAATGGACAGTTGCAATTTACTGCAATCTCTATTAAACCTGTTTATTTTTAGAATGAGGCAAAAAGAGATAGAGCTATTGCTTTGTCGCCTTGGGTACAACTACTTATAAATAACTTGATATATGTTTTTACCAACTTTAATAGAAACTAGTGATCTTTGTTTAGTCGACTCTCCCAATTTCTTAGCTGCTAGGTCATCTAATAAAGTTCCTCAGCGGATGTAGCTAACAATCCGTTAATGTACAATGTCAGGTTTTACATTATGCAACTAAAAGATCGAGGACTCAACTTTTCAACAATCACCCATCATGCAAATGTGACTCAGTGCTTAGGCTCCATTGGTGGCCATGAATGGTATCTTGGTGTTGCCAAGCCATCCATTGTGGATTTGTATATCCCTCCTACTGCTCCTAGTGTGGAAGAAGTGAATGATTCTAGCGCAAATGTTGTGGAACCAAGCAAAAAAATTGCCAAGTCACCTTGTGGCCATTTATATGTACCTCCTAGTGTGGAAGAAGTGCAGCTCTTCAAAGTTATGGGCCCCAAGTTTCTTAAGCTTAATGTTGGGACTTGGCATGCTGGACCTTTATTTGTCCAAGGTGCAATGGATTTCTACAACTTAGAATTGAGTAATACAAATGTGAGTTTCACTTTGCTTTCTTTCAATGCATGTTGATATTTGATATCTATTCTATTCAGTGGCACTTTCCAATTGTAAACAACAATGTGTTGGATTTGATTGCCAACACCATGCAATCTTTAGAGGCGGCTTTTAAGGGCCTGTTCTCATACGATTATTTTTAGCTCAGTTCAGCTCTAATAAGTTAAGTTTCAGTTCAGCTCCTAATTTCCTTCTCTTATAAAATATTCATTTCAATTCAGTTCAGTTCAGCTCTAATAAGTTCAATTCAGGTTCAGCTTTAATAAGTTCAGTTCAGTTGTCAATGAGAACAAGCCCTAAGTCCCAAAAAAAGTCTTCTATGACATTTTGTATTCCAATGTGGTGGCTTAGAATTCATTTTACTCGTGCAACCTGTGCTAATTAAATTTGATGGTTGATAAACTAGTCTTATTTTCTCAAATATTACTTTTGTGATATTCCCATGTTGTTCCAATGATTCTACAGATAATATTGTTCCAATGTTTCACAATTAGGATGTGATCTCATAGTCCTTTGAATCCCTGATTGATACTTTGTGTTTGTGTGTCCTTGTCACATAATTTATGGTGACATTTCACTTACTATAATGTCAGTCTTGCCTCCTCACTCTTTCTTTGTCTTCATACATTTTAAGCTACTTCTTCTAGGTTCCAGTATTATGGCTAATTTCTATGCCAAATTTCTGTGTGGAGATTCAATTAAGAACCAAAATGTTAATTAGCTCCCATTACAGAGTATATTGCAATTTAGCAAGAAGTTCGTTTTGCAGCTTATCTTGAAGGCTTAGAGCAGCTTTGTGGCAGTCTATGAATCATCCTAATTGGGTGGGGGATGTCTCTGAGAGGCTTTTTTTCTAAACGAATTGGTCATATAACTGTGATTTGTCTGTTTGTAGGTGGTGGATCATACAACTCATAATTTTCGCCAAGAGAATGGGGTACAATTTGTGATTGATGAATAACTGGTTCTGCTTGGTATGAAGGGATGGGCCGTTGGAGTGACAAAGAGAACCTTATGCTACATTTATGCCCCCGTTGCTGTTCCTCTCTGTATAATGCACTAGTCAACTTGGTATGTGAGTTGTAAAATTGATACTATATTTTCAAGTGATGCCATTCACTTCTTTTAATCCGGTGAATTGCAACTTGAAAATTGCTTCTTTCACGTTTCATTCCAATTTACTTGGAGTCTTGCAGATGTATATTTATGCCTTTTCCAGACCGGTGACTGTAACTACGAGATACTTATGTTTTGTTGAAAAAATCTTGTAGTTTGCTTTATTATCTCAAACAGAAGTCACCACATACATGGCTTTATTTTCCATGTTTTGAATTACATTTGGAAGCCCGAATTGATCGTGTCTTGTGTTGATAGACTGTTTGGTAAGCCAATTTAGCATGAGACTGAGAATCATCTCTTCTTGTACAGTAAGTTGCATCTTCTCTTTGAAACAGGTTCTTAATGTCGCTGGAACGAGTGAGTACTGTCTCATGCCTCATACTTGTGTCTCATGGCTAGTAATTATGTTAGAGGTATAAAAGGGTATTTTTCAGCATATTTAACTAATAGAACCCTTTAGATAGGGAATTATGTGAAAAATCCAAATAAATCTAGACAGTAAGTAAATTGCAAGTTTGCAACTTGTTTTACCAAAACATATCTAATACAAATGGCCGGCTTTTCAACGAGGCTGAAAATGTGAAATGATGCCGGCAAAACTTGGTAATGGGCTTACTGGCTTTTTTTTTTTTGAAATAAAATTGATTCATAAATAAAGTCATACGACATCTACAAAGAGATTTAGATCTAATGAATACATTATAATTGAATCAAATAAAAACATTTCATAAGCAAAGTTACGATCGTTGTTGCAAATCGTACATTCTTCATACCCTCTTTCATATCGCTGTGATTTACAGTCTTCATTGGCGAGGGGGTCTATCGATCTGTTGTAGCCCTGCAGAAAATTTCCGTCTGATTCGCTAGATTGTAATCGACATATTAACCTCTTTTTCGATCTCGCACAAAATTTTACTCATGAAACAACTCTATAGCAATCCATAAAATAAAAAAGCAAATCCTCCCTCAAAAGAGAGAAGAAAAACCCGGTCTTTCGAAGGAGCCAAATCTTCCTAAAGAAGAAAAATAACCCTGTCTTTCGAGGGAGAAATATTCCTCCTAGAAGAGGAAGAATTATTATTATAAACCTAAAACAATAGAAAAAGCACACAAAAACAAACAATTAGAGCTTTCCACCGATAAAAATCGAAGGAAACCCCTCCAAAATTCAACAATAAAGACTAGGGTTTTAGAGAGAGAAGAGAGGAAAGAGAGGCTTAATGGGCTTACTGGCTTGGTATTAAACTGTTGAATAATTTAGAGAATATAGACTAATTTTATGATTATTTAATTATATACTTAGGATAAGGTGTTATATTTAATTAAATAAGATATTAAAGTAGAAAACCTGGGTTTAAAGGGAGAAAGCACGGTAAAGAGGATGAAGCAAACAACCTCTCTATGGCCCGGTGTGCCGCCCGGTCAGGGTGGTGCTCGCCTGACCGGGCACGAGAGGTGACAGAAATTGACATTCATAACCGCTCGGTCGGGCGGCGGCTGGCCCGATCGGGCGCGGGGTTTTTAGTTTTGAAGCTGGCGGTTTTCGTCAATTATTTGCACGGTTTGGCAGTTTTCTCTTCGTGGCTTTTGGTGAACATTGGCTGCTATTATATACTCGTATGTTTATAAAAACATATGATAAAGAGGATTTTCAAGGAGAAGTATCAGTTTATTTACTTTACTTGAAAACATTTTGCAATTTCGAAAGTTATCATCATCATAAATCCAAAAGTTTAATTACATTATTTTGTAATCATCCTACTTGTGATTGCAATAGTTCTTCGTAATCATCCTACTTGTGATTGCAATAGTTCTTCGTTGTATCTCCTGAGTAAATTTCGGTAATATCCGGTTGTAGTGTTGGGTCGGAATCACGCCTCAAAGAATTTTACGTTAATTTTGTTTGTTTTCTTTGTGACCCTTGTTAAATTGAAAATCCCCAACATAAACTGGAGTTTCTTGTTACTTAAACAGTAATTCCCTATCAACTAATTAATCTCTCTGTTAAAGTTATTGATTCACCCATCATAATAATTGAAACACTTTCCTTTTTTCATCCATGTCATAATACCTGCAACACTTCCTTATTTGATAAGAACCCACAAGGGCAACAACTATTATACTCTGTATTATTTCTCTCTCCTATCAGCCCTACTCAGCTACTCTCATTATATAATTTTCCTAAAACTTTGTGTCAACCCTACTGTTGAGATTGTTATAAAATGGAGGGAGTAAAACATAATGTATTTATGTATCTGCATACTTCATGTCCCTGTTGCTTTTTCTGCTTATTTGCTGCTGTACTCATGGATTTGGTCCTTGGTGGCGGAACCCAACCCTGAATTCCTTCGCACCAGTACACCCAAACACATGAGCCAATCTAGGGATTCAGCTTTCAGGAAGTTGTGGTCAAGCGTATGATCCTCGGATTTTGTTGCATGAATGACCATGCCGTTGTAGAGATACTTTGTTTAGAGAGTTAAAAACGAAATGTATAAAGTTGAAAGCAAAATTACCTTACTAAAGGAAGAAGGCATCGGACTAATTGCTTTAAACATAATAAGTGTTGTACATACAGATTAAGTATTACATACAAATTAGATCATTCACATGATCACATCTATTCACAAACAAAAAATAAAATAAAATTTTTACTATGCAAAGGAAGTTGAACACAGATTATTGGTTAATAACAGAAAACAAAATACCAGAAATTGTACCAACAAAATTTTATAATAACATATTGAATGACTAGCTGTTACTTTGAAAGAGATTGTTATTGATACAAAATAATGTCATAATTTTTCGAGCAGCCACCTATGATTCTAATGATACAATAAACAACACGATCAGCATTACAGCCTGATCAATCAATAATGTCACATATCTCCCATCATCTGCAGAACGACGACAGTAATCAGGGATCAATATCATCGCATAGGTTGCAGTGTTAGCTTCCTAGTTTCTTTATTATTTTAGGCTCATTTAAAACTTCCTTATCAAATTTATTTCAAAAATTTACTGTGATGTGTTGTGCAGGAGTAAAAAAAGGTAAGCAAACTTTATGTAATTTTCTCTTAGTTTCAAAGCATCAAGAACAAAAAACAAAGCCGCAGTTTTGCATCAAAAAACTCTACCTTTTGCCACATTCTATTCTAGAGGAAGACAAGGTTAAGTTAAAGTGAAAGAGAAGGTTGTTATTTACAATCAACAAAAGGGTCTATTGAGAGATCATTGGTTGAAAAGCAATAATAGTATTAAGGATGAAAAATAACCTTGAAGATATCCCCGAACATCCCTTGCATGGGATTTTTGCGTCGTACTCCATAAAACTTCTCCGCTATCTCATCTAGGAACTGAACCATATAATACAGTCAGAAGCTCAATATCAAAAATTCAATCAGAAGCCTTTAAAAAGTGTCCAGAGTTTATTTATTGAACAATCTCAACTGAACTTTAGCATGAAAGTGACCAACATAAAACATGAATGACCTCAACTTTTTTTTTTTTGGAAAGAATTATCTCAACTTTTAAACATCTATAAATAATACAACCTTGGATTAGTCGTGTCCTCGTAATAATTGCAAGTGATATATCACTTGGACTTTTATGAGAAAGAGCTCTCAAATTACAAGGTGCGATAAATTCAAGAAGATGTGAAAAAGTTCAGATCATGCATGTTATGTTTTCTCATATACTAAGACGAGTTTGTGAAGTACCTCATTAAATGCAGGATCTATATCAATGCTAGACTTGTAACTCTGCCTCAACATTCTAAATAGAGGCAAAGCATCCCTTTCCAACCTGAAAACGCAAAAGGAGGGAGAATTCAGATACACAATCCCTTGACCTCATCCATGACTAATATTGCTTGTCTTGGATGCAAAACAGGGTTTTCACATATCATATTTACGCCATCAATCGTTACTTGACACTAAAGTTAGAAAATTTTCCTTTGAGGGATGTGAAGTAGAAAGAAATAACAAGAACACCCGAAGAATATTGCACATGAAGAAACAATTCAAATACTTATATGATAGTGGTAAAGACTTGTGACTTACGTTTGCAAGAGATAATTGATAAATTGCATAAGATCCGAGTCTGGAAAATCTAATTCTTTAGATTCTGCCTGCTTCTTGACCTCATTCAGAACATAGTTTGCATCTCTCATATTACCTAGAGCTAGATACCTGCAAAAGAGAATAGTATCTCACTAAATTAATTATCAGATTTCTGAAACTTCTTTGAGACAAACAGATACAGGATCAAAACAAATTACCATGGCAAAAGGACTAAAATATTTTACATGCAATGCAATGCAATTTGATGTTAGGTATGAACATAAATCCTATAACGCGATCTTGAGCACGCTGTCACGGGTCATCTCCCTTGCCAACCATGGGCGTCATTTGGGTCACTAGGCAACAGGGCATAATCGTGGCTAGGGGGCTTGACCTTGGTGCCCAACTAAGCACTTTCCCCTATAGAGCTTTATTTAGCTAAGGTGATAAAATCCTAGTGAACACCAAAGTGACAGTAATGCAATAATGGGCCATTTGAGGGCCAAATGAATTCCAAATGGGCCCAAATTTGGGGGTCCATCGTCTTTTGGGCCGAGGAAGACCATGGTGGTGTCGGTTTTCCAAGATGAAGTACCAAAGTACAAGTTTTTGGCAGGGAAAACGCGAGATGCTTCTAAAAGTTTCCGGAGCTATCTAAGAGGTTCTTTGGAAGACTGTTCTAGAGTGGATGACTCTAGAATAATCAAGGAAGGTCTGGTACATAGTAAAAGTCTTCTAGGATCTTCTGTGTATGTACACAAGTATGTAAAGTTCTAGAATGTTCAATGCTAGTCTTTAGCATTCTAGGCATGGAAGGATGTAAAAACCTCCTTGTATGTATGTTCCTTTGGAGGTGGCAACTCTCTAGATACTTGTAGTCTAGACCCTCCATTTGAGGAGGTTAGGGTTATTTTAGATAAAGCTTGTAAGTAGGATGGAGCACTATAAATCGGGCTCCAAGGCTCATTTGTACATTCAAGTTAAGAGCAATACAAAAATCATTCCCAAAGCACTTGTGTTCTCTAGCAACTCAATCTCTTCCTTTACACACTTAAAGGGTGTGAGGAAAACCAAGGCATGAGGGTGCCAAGTGAGTGATCGGGCATACTAGCTTGTGTGCTCAATTGTCTACGACACTTAGTCGTAAATTCAGACTAAGGCATTAAGGGTGAGTGCTTAGTTTAACCAAAGGGTCTTGTTAACTCGTCTTACGACAGACTATAAGCAGGTGGCGCACTATGCGTGACTAGGGAAAAATAGTCAGCACGTGACAATGCGCGCACACACTCTACAATAGCATGATTAAGAGGTCTACATCATAAACTCAAGATCTAAGGGCATCTGTACATTTTTTTTTTTTTTTAAGATTTTAATTTTAGAGTCTCAACCACTTTATGACACACCCTTAAATAGTGAAGGACAACACAATAACATATTTCCACCAAAGATTTTAATTGATTAAAATGTAAGAAAATTGCAAGAAGTTGTTGAATGTTAACGGCGAAAAACTCACATAAGAACAGCACGAGCAATGGCCAAATCATCTTCTCCTGGGTAACACTGCAAAGTTGGAAAATGTCACTGAATTAGAAAAATATCTTGCAAAAATAGCACATAAATCTTCATAAAGTCACCTACCATATATAGATAATATTTCACTCACAAGCTACTATATCACTCCTACAAAGTTTCGAGATATATAAACTAAAATGCATGCGACATATGCACCCACACAAAAATCATATTTCCTATTTTTAGAACGAGAAACCCCACCCAAAAAAAACGACAAACAAGTAGTATAACTTGAAATGTCATCTATGTTTATGAAACAAGTAGTAAACTACCTTTTTTGTCCAACTTTTTTTAAAAATCACCTTTTATGTTTTTTTATTTACTAAACCACTTTTTAAGTACCTAAATTTTTTATTGCACCATCCTTATTTCAAATCTAACATATTGCATCTCAACCATCCACTTCCAAATCATCAACCATAGCAAAACCTTCCATTTCATCTCAACCATCACTTCTATTCAGTATTAGAATAAATAAATAATACAATTTAATTTTTGTAGCAAAATTAGGTTTGGTTTTTTAGAGCTTTACTCAATTTAGTCATCCATTTATATAGAAGGAAGGGTCAAATGTTTTTGGAGGTGAAAAGATACATGATTTAGGAGCGAAAGGCACAAGTTGTGGGCCCTTTGACGTCTCAGTTAAATTTTTCGTCAAAATTTGAAATAGGGGTGGTGCAATCAAGAATTTAGGTAATTAAAAGGTGGTTTAGTAAATAAAAAAAACATAAAAGGTGGTTTTTTCAAAAATTTTAGACAAAAATGGTGGTTTATACCAATTTTGCCTTATATAAAAGATACGATTATGCACAGATATTGGATGCTAAGTGATGGATGTGATGTACTTATACTTGAAACTCCTATAATGACAAATATATAGACATAAGACTTGGTTTTGATTGGAGGCTAAAGTTAGAAAATGGACCACTAATATGATAGTTCAAAGATGAAATGTGATCAAGTTAATATGACCTAGAATTATCTTTTGGATGTTAGCAATGATAGCTCATCAATTAAATATACCATAGAAGTTAAAAAATTATGACCAAAATGGTGATTAAAAGAGAAAAATCAAGAATTTAATTAGATTGGAGAATTACAACAGTACAACTTCTAAGCTCATAACAAGGTTCATGGTCACAACTGAGAAGAGAGGAAGATAGTACTAGTGCTTATTTTGCAAGGCTATAACTTCCACTCCTGCAATCTTACTACACAGTACACACAATCCATCACCAACATTCCCCCATTACCAGCAGAACTGTGGTGGTGTTTTAGAAAGAAATTATCTAAAAACAAATACCAATTGTCTTATGTTGTAGTGTATGGTTGAAATCTTGACCTTTGGTATTGATTGTTCTTTAATGGTCGGATATAAAAATCAAAAGGCAAATCTGCTACCCTCTTTACGTGATAATATTTGAGAGAATGTTAGATGGTGACCGATTCTAGGCATGCGAGTTGGTGAGAGTGTTAGTGATGCCGTGTGACATGGTGGCGACCATATAGATAATATATAGAAACCCCAATAATGATTAGTTATTTTTATTTTCATTTCTCAATTGTTTTCCTACCTCATATTTGGACCAAAGTTACTATTTAGTACCTTTGTTGAATAAAATGAATTTCATGTAATGAATAGGGCTATTATATCATGGAAACATAAAAAAGGAACACCATTGATCTCTAAAAATCTTAAAAGGGCTTTACTAGAGTCCTCATCTATTTTAAGTTTCCTTTTTTTTTTTTTTATATATATATATATAATATTATTTCCCTAATAAACAAGAGGGCAAAGATTAACATATCTCAGAAGATTTAAGTGGTTGGATGACTTTTGCTAACCAAAAGCCTTTCCATAAAGCTTGCATCCAATTTCATTAGATTTTCACTCAAATAAAAACTAATAAATGCAAAGATCTTGGAAACATGAAAAGCAATCCATGCTTACATCAAATATGCTTATAGAGAATATATTTGACAGCTTAATTCCATTGCGAAAGTTTAAGAAAAAGAAATATTTTTTATTTCTTTGTAGAAAGCTTTACCTTCTCCATGAAATCTACGAGTGTATCAGCAAATTTCTTTGGACTATTCCCACGAACAAAATGGAATGATACTTTGGCCATGTCCTACAATTATGAAAGTGTGGATGTGAGTTATACCATTACACTATATGAAACCATGAAATAATGAACAAAAAAATAGAATTACATCATATAGACCCAAAAAAAAAAAAAGAAGGAAGCATTAATTGCCCAAATGAAAGACATCATGCTTCTCAACAACGATTTAACAGAATAATTTTTATAAGACAGAAAGCTTGGGGCCTATTCCATAAGTATGACATTAAACAGGTAGTTCAACTAGTTAATTCAAGAGGTAAAACAAGTTATCTAAGTCATGACCATGTCTTTAGAAGTGGATAGGCAACTTCACTGAATGCTTGACTAAATGGATAGCAAGATAGAAATCAGTCACGCAGATCAATTCACTAGGATATAGTGCAGTTCAGAACAGTGATCTATACCTAAGACCTTACCCACAATCCTGCAACATCTTAGATTAAAACTATAAGAACTCACACTCAGTAGCTTTTCTGAAACTCGTCTTTCTATCACAAATTTTCTACAAAGCTGTTTCTGGAGATATTATTCTTAAATATAGTCCAGCTTTGAAAGTGGTATAAATAAGAAGTAACAACCTTTTGACCAAATTACTATTTAAAACTATCCTAAATGCTTCAAAACTAATCCCATCAAAACCAAATATGGCAGATGACAAATTAGTTCAGCAGACAGGCTTGTAGTCTTTATAAAAATACTAGTTGACTAAACCATATCAGTTACCAATCCTCACTTTTCTTGCCTCTCCCTTTTCCTTCTCATAATAATCGAAATAATGAAATCATAAATAGACCCAAAATATCCCCAATGCATTTACAGGGATTGATTTTACTTTTTCAGTATAAAGTTCAAATGAAGAAGTGAGATGGAGAAAGAGAAGCTAAAGATAGATTAAAGTAAACAAATGCCTTGTTCGGAAAATAGCATTTGGCCAACTTTTTGTATTGACTTTTAGAGTAGTTAGGCAAAAATAAATAAATGAATAAAAAATAAAAACTGATAAGTTAATGAATTTTGAATTGGTTGAAAAGTATTTTTTTTAAATCTAAGAATGCCTATTATTGGCCAGCTATATGGAAAAAAAAAGGTCAGTTACATCGATTTTTGCATAAAACAATTAATACCGCTAGCTAGCAAAAAAGTCAACAATTTATACTCTACTAGCTGGTAAAACATGCCAGGTGAACCAAACAATAGCAAAAACGTAATAGCCTAACAAGGCCAAACTAACCAATAGAAAGTTATAACATTGAGTGCACAAGATTGCAACATGGAGGGATTGCACAAGATTTTAGGTACTGGGAAAAAGGAGAAGAGAGAAGGCTAAATTACAAATCTGTACATGTGATTGTACGCATTAACTAAAGCAATAGCAAAAACAAGGTACATTGGGTATTTGCAATGTGATAGGAGATATTTGTTTTCCTAAAACGGGCATCTTGCATGAGAAACTTCCTAAGAGGTAAACACTGCAAAATTAAAAAGACGGAAGAAGTACGATTTAGGTTCTTTTTGGCCATACGTGATCAACCAAATGAATCATTAATTGCAGATACTAGTGCAAGACACAAAAGTAGCGACGAACCAACACCAAACCAATACTCCCACGTCCGAGTGAGAAGTAAAGGTGTAATCTTCAGCTTCTACATTCTTGGAAAAATTGCTTCAACTTTTTGTCCAGGATTCTAAGTTTAAGTCAAAACACTGAAATCTAGGCTAAATGCATACTATTTCAACTTCTAAAACACTATCCTACCAACCGATTTTTTTAAACAATTTGGACAAACTAAATAGTAGCATAACAAAAGCAGAAAAATGAGCACAATCACCTTTTCCAAAGCACATACTGTCTTTTTCAGTAAAATTACATTTTATCATCAATTAAAAAGATTTAGCCATGAAAATCAGAGTTCAACAAATCATTGTTTTGCTTAGAAACAATAACCAAACAACCATAAGTCTAACCAATTGTTACCATTCTTGCATCCAGTTCAGTGTCAACTTACCACCTCAGGTGTCTCGGAATATATGTACTCTGCAAGCATAGTATGTAGCTCCCGAGAACCATTTCTGTCAGGTCCAAGTTCAATAGACCACCTAAGCAATACAAACAAGTAGCAATTCCATAAGTTATATTTCACAAAAAATATTATCATAAATCATAGTATTGTTGTTTCCATTTAAAAGAAGTTAATACACTTGTATTGTCCCAAAATAAGAAAATGACAAATAATCTCATTGATCGCTTAAATACTTTTAAAAGGCTGTCTTATATTTAAAGTAGAAGCATACAAGCCTAGAAATCTATTTAGAGGTAGGTCTGACAGTTCAACACTTTAGTCCATCATATTCACCTTTACAATGTCACTTAACATTCGAAAGAATGCTAAACTTAAGGACAAAGATCATGAAAAGCATTGCGCTCAAGTTCACGGGCATACATATGTAGAAATGCATACATGCAACTCAAGATTTTCTTAGTTAAACATAACTTAGTTATTTCTCACCTGATAGCAGCCCTCAGAAAAGAAGCGCATGCCTCCACACGTATTTTAGCTGCTCCCAAAGCTTCGGAAAGCTTTTGCATGTCATCATCATCTCCAACATGGTCCGGTACAGCATTTCGAGGAAATGCCTCGTAGATTTTCCTGAGACGGTCTGACAAAACTTACTTTTTATAAGATCACAAAAACAGATTATACTCTACAAAATTTAGACGTAACCAAAGTACCAAACAATTAATATTTCTAAATAAAATTTAATGCAAAAAAGATATATACTGAATCAAAAATTTGTACTGACCAAGCAGGTCGTCATTGTAAGGAAATTTTCCTTTCACAAGTGTCTCTACGAACAACAATGCCAGCTCAGCACCACAAGTAACCTAATCATATGGAAAATATTAACCAATTGAGAAAACACGATATACACAACAGTTAAAAATGAAAGGATTTTACATCCAGCAAAGACAAAATCAGGCCTCACGATCTCAGAGTCATATTTAGGCAAATTCACATATTTCATTAGATAAAGAAGGGAAATGGCAAAAGATTGACCATGCATGGATGTATATATGGTTGTCTAGCAAAGTGCAGATACCTATTTCGGAAAATCAGCCTATGTATAGACTGCTAAAAAATTAGCCAATATAATACATTAATACCACCTATCATGGCTATCAAGCACAAACAAAATCATTAATGCGATGAATTAAACCCCCACATTCAACAGGTTAATTATTCAAAATCAAATAGGAAGTAGGAATTTTAAGATATGTAACAATTTGGAGGTAAAGTATGACACCTAGGCTTCTAATTTTCCAAATAACGGAAGTATTATCCTAAATCAACACAATTTCATGGAGCTTCAAGAATATATTGGGACATAATAAAAGGACACTAACTTATGGAAAGAAAATTAAGTTATCGTAATCTATCCCTAGAATGACAATGCCAAACATGGAATGACCTCCAACAGCGGCAATTATCCTGAAAATACTACAGTGAATATTCAAAGATTTTAATATATCCAAGTCCTTCACTGGAGTAATAGGAAATACAATTGTATATTTGTATGAATTTCTTGCCTATGTTATCTCCTGCTCAGCTCTTTCAGAAGATTCCACTTCAAGCTTTATCCTAATGGCAATAATAGCTAAAATATTGACTACCAACTACGGCCAAAAAACTGAGAATGTCTTAAGCAGTTCCTTTGTTGCAGCTTGCTAGACACGGATAACATAATCTGCAGATAGGACTCGCAGGAGTGTTGCTTCTTTTGGTGAGAGAAAATGCGAGAGAGGGAGAAGGGGAATAGAACGAAAAGGTGCAACTCACAAGCCATCAATTATATAAACTAAACCTAATTAAATTTACAAGTTACTAATCCAAAAGGTCATGAATAACAAATAAATTTCATCATCTGGTGTATGATTTATTCAAGTCAACAGCAAGTGAATCATATAACCTTTCGATCTCATACAATACAAACAAGCAGCCAAATTCCCACATGATCTATTTGTCACGAAAGTGATCATAATCACATACATAAATAATTTATTCTAGAGACAAGTCCTTAACCTATGTCAAGAAAGCGGCCATGATCACAAATCAACATTAAGTCCTACAGAAACTTAGCATAACTTTCAGCAATAAGACCATACTCTCAGCATACATTTGAATCAAAAATCAATTGAATTCATAAGTTAGTGTTCGATATAAAGACCTGATCATGTTTCAATTGGAGACAGGCACCTGACTCAAGGATATCCAATGCTTCATAGTACCTCTCAGCAGCTATGTATCTGAAATTTCAAGTATATTACACAATGCACCCAACCAAGGTAAGTCAATACTCAATACAATGATTTCAAAGAACAATAACATAAATCAAACAAGAAGGTGTTGGCCAAAAGTTATATACTTTACTCCTTTTGGTCAAGATTTAATTGTTTTATGATATGTTCAAATTAAATTATCAGCGTATTTTTTCGTTACTCGTTCAAATTACACTATGAGTTTGTTATTTCGTTATGAGTTCAAATAACACTATCAATGTGTTATTTGGTTACTTGTTCAAATTACACTATTACTGTGTTATTTCGTTACTTGTTCAAATTAAACAATCAACGTGACTATTAATTCCCAACAGCGGGAATCATACGTGCCAATGAAAAGTAACCGACATATATCCATACCTAGCACTAGTAGACTTGTACATCTGCTGAGCTCCATAAAAATTCCCTCCATCAATAACTTTCTGCAACTTCTCAATACTCTGCATGTGAAATCAAACATAATTTACATCAATCACCAACATTAACATCAAATTAACAATCTTTAAAATAAAAATCACAGTAATCAGCAAAGCAAAAAGAATTAAACCAAATTGAGATCTAATAGTGAAAAATTTAAATGTGGGGCAGCAAAAAGATTAAAAATCAAAAACCCACATCAAAAAAAACAAATTCAAAGATTGGGTTTTTTACGTTTTTTTTCCCAACAATTCAGATTTTAGAGTAGCAGAATTTAGGATAGAAAAACCTGAAGAGCAGGAGGCAGAGAAGCTTTTCTGGGTCGAGACATGTTCTTCGTATAACGGGTAAATTTTGATTTGAGGAATTATATTAATTGGGTAATTGTAAATTTGTAATAATGAATTGAATTGAAGAGAAATTAAATATTGATCTGCTTCAATTTTTATGGAAAGTAATTCTGTAATATCTTTGCCAACAGCTAATTTTGATTTCAGTTCGGAATAGGAAAGCAGGGAAGTGATTTAGGCCCAGGTCTTCTTGATTGGACCGACCAATGTTTTTCTAGATCTAATCAAGTTTAAGTCTTAGACGGTTAGACCTCCTACGCCTCCTAGTTAATGCTCGAACCAATTAGAGGAGTGATTCGAGTTAAAGATTAAAGTCGGGTCATGCTTGACAACAACAATAACAAAATTACTCTCATTGAATTGACATGAACTATGACATAATTAGATTATTTTCTCTTCATCCCATTTATATAATATTCGATAAAAATAATTTTTGTTTGGTAAAATAATTATCGTTCAACAAAAATAACTTCAGTTTTGAAAATAAATAAATAAAATTTAATCAGTGAAAATCAGTAACTTTATCGAACAATAAAAAAAAAAAAAAAAGCCATGTTCAATTCACCTTAAAAGCGAATATTTAGTAAAATAATTTCAGTTGGTTTCAAGAGAATCAGTAAAAATAATTTTAGTTTATTAGAATTAATTTTACTTCAATAAAATTAGTTTCAATTCAGCAAAAAAAAACAATTTAAGTTCGTAAAAATAATTTCAGCTCAGTTAAAATAATTACAGTTCAGCAAAAATAAGGTAAACTTAACAATGCCTAAGTTTTAATCGGTGAAAATAATTCTAGTTCAGCAAAAATAAATTTTTTTTAGTAAAAATAATTTAATTCAGTAAAAATAAGGTTAAGAGAGCAGGGTCTTTCCCTCAATAATGTTTCACCTTATTTTGTTGAACTAAAATTATATTTATTCAAATATAATTATTTTTGCGAGATTGAAATTAGTTTTACTCAACTTAAAAATTTTCTTAAGAAAAATTAAATGATTAAAACTTATTTTTATTGATTCTCTCTCTATTATAATTTTTCTTTAAGATTACTTATTTTTAATGATTAAAACTTATTTTTATTAAGCTAAACTTTTAAATTTATTTTTATCGAACTAAATTATTTTTAGTGAACTTAAATCATTTTTAATGAATCTTATTTGAATAAGGTGAAGAGAACAAGATCGGACAATAATGAACTTAAGTCAATACTGAACTAAAGTCAATAATGAATCTTATTTGAATGAATACATTGCATTGTTACGTGCATCCAATAGGGTTTTTATTTTTTCATTTAAGAGACACTCATGTTTTACTTAACCATTAAATAATTTTTTATTTTTTATTTTTTTGAAAGAAACCATTAAATTATTTTAACTTAACTAAAATAAATTTTTAATGAAATAATTGAATAATATTTACTGAATTGAAAGTATTTTATTCAATTAATTCAATTTATATGGAGTACTAAATATTTTTTGAATGAGGTGGAGATAACAATTCTTTTCAAAATTAAAAAAATATATAAAAAAAAAGGCAAAATTGGCTTCAACACTCTGAACTTTGGCTTGGGTGCACTCGGCATTCTGAAAAAAGAAAAATAGCCAAAACACCCTGAAGTATTAGCATGGGTGCACTTAGCACCATACAAGAAAATTTTCGGCCAAAAGTGGCCGGATTTCGGCGACTTTTTTTTTTAATAAAAAAATGTTTTTTTTATAATTTTTTTTTTATTTTCTTATTATTATTATTCATCATCATCATCATCATCATCATCATCATTACTATTATTATTATTATTATTACGAAAATACCTCGGTTTGCGTGTTGTTATTTTTTTGACGAAAATTGTTTAGGTAAGGTTTCGGGGGTCATTTTTACCCTTAATGGATCCAAATTTAGCTCAGATTTTGCAAAAAAAAAAAACGGAAATACCACGTTTTGCGTGTCGAGAAATATCTAAGTTGCTAAGACACGCAAATCGAGATATTTCTTGACACGTAAAACGGGGTATTTTCTTTGCAAATCCCGAGCTGAAATCGGACCCAATAAGAGTTAAAATGACCCCGAAACCAATATGCAAATCGAGATATTCCTCGACTCGCAAAACGAGGTATTTCCATTATTTTTTTGCGAATTCCGAGCTTAATTTGGAGTCATTGAGGATAAAAATGACCCCGAAACCTTACCAAAACAATTTCCGTCACAAGAAATAGCAATACGCAAATCGAGATATTCCTCGACACGCAAAACGAGGTATTTCCATTACTTTTTTGCGAATTCCGAGCTTAATTTGGATCCATAAAGGAAAAAAATGACCCCCGAAACCTTACCCGAACAATTTCCATCACAAAAAATAACAATACGCAAATCGAGATATACCTCGACACGCAAAACGAGGTATTTTCATTATTTTTTTTTGCGAATTCTGAGATTAATTTGGACTCATTAAGGATAAAAAATGACCTCCGAAACCTTAATTTCTGTAAAAAAAAAAAAAAAAAATAACAACATGCAAATCGAGGTATTTTTGTAATAATAATAATAATAACAATAATAATATTAAATAATAATAATGATAATAATAATAATAATAATAATTAATAATAATAATAATAAATAATAATAATAATAAAATTAAAAAAAATTTATTAAAAAAAAAAGTCGCCGAAATCCGGCCATATTTGGCCGGAAATTTTCTTGTTTGGTGCTAAGTGCACCCATGCTAATACTTCAGGGTGTTTTGGCTATTTTTCTTAGTTCAGGGTGTTGTGTGCACCTAAGCCAAAGTTCAGAATGTTGAGGCCAATTTTGCCAAAAAAAAAAAAAAGGTTGAAGGTATCAATGTATCATGGCCATAAATTTTTCATGTGATGAAAATATTATTGGGCCCTAATATATATGTTCATCCTTGGCCCCTTCCTTGATTATCTCATGTAACCATGCAATGCTTCAGAGTACCCTCTCAAAGTCTCAGCAGCTATGTATCTGAAATTTCAGCAAGCCAACTGCATTAGCACAGAAAAAGGCAATAACCAAAATAATTACAAGTAAATTACATAATGCACCTGATGGTTACACAAACTAAGAACACTTAGAGGATGTTTGGTTCAAGCATCTAAGGTATGAGGTATGGGTTTAGAATGAGTGAAACCCATACCTATTGTTTGTTTTTATAAAATTCAATTTTGAAACCTATACCTCAAACCCCTAAGGTATGGGGTTTTGAAACCCAAGGGGGAGGTGGTTATGAGCCATACCCTTACCTTTAGCTTCAAATTAAAAGAAAAACATATCATTCCCAACTCAAAATCAAACAAATGGAATTAAGTATCAAGTTCCAAACCCATACCACCCTAGTTTCATTCCTCATTCCAAACCCATACCATTATCTGAACCAAACGCATATACATACACATAAATTTATGAGACATATTATGAACTATGAAGTGTCTTGAAAACCTCCTCCAATTCCAACAAACTACACACACATACATTAATACATACATGTACATGTAAAATTATTCAACATAGATTATGTAGTGCCTGTACATGTAATGATGTAAAATTATTCAACATAGATTATGTAGTGCCTTTTAGAAACCTCTTCCACGAGTTCCATCAATACCATCATATACCACTATACCACACACGCCACACATGGACATATAAATTTAATTTAAATAGATTATGAAGTGCCTCATAATCCTCCCGTAATACCATCACAAACTCCACAAACATACATGTACATGTAAATCTATATTACTACATATATAGATTGTGGCATTAAGTAGTGACTTGAAAATTTGAAAACCTCCTCCAATACCATACAAACTACGTACGTGTACTCAAAAATTATTCAATATAGATTATGAAGTACGTACTTGAAAAACCTTATTTATTAATAACGGTACCGTAATAGTGCAATACATAATTAGGTATAGAATCATCCATGAAAAAAGCATGACAGGGTTAGACAACTAATAACATGTTACTAAACAAGTAAACATTGTTTAGAAATTTGGCACTATACAATTAATTAACTTTGATTATATGACTAAATAAGGTATAAAATCCCAAAAATCAGCTCTAATAACACAAGTTTCCCGCCTATTTGACCAAACAAGTAAAAACTCTATTAGGCTTACTATGAATAACCGTTACAAATCTCAAATAACATTTTCCTAGAATCATATATTATCACACTATATAATTCTTCTTTTAGTACTTCTATTACATCACCCCTTAATAAGATTTTTCAAAGAAATTAAAAAATTAAAGGGTGAATTCCCCTGTATTTCAACTAATCAAACATTAAACCCATAAAAGAAATATGAATCTTGATGTTGAAAAAATTCAATTGATTGATTTTTCTTCTGAGGATGATTTCCTCATTGATTCCGATTTCGATAACACCTTCGTTGATCTTCGATTATCAGGTAATCTTTCGTTTTTACCTTATCAAATGAAAGCATTCATTAATTTTCTTGCAAGAAGAATGAGTTCAAGTTGCTTCATTTGCTTGTCATGCTGGCAAGAAGTAACGTTTTACTTTTATTTAAATTTTGAAATTAACATTTTCGTCCTTATTTCTGTCATGTAACATGTTTTATTGCATAATTGATTATCTTTCCTTTATTACATGATCTTAAAATTAATTACCCAATAATAAATTTTTTGATTATTTTGGTCTTGCATGTTGATTAATTCAATTCATTGTGAATTTTTTTTATTTAATAGTGTCATTTGACACACAAAAGGAGCTAGTATGCAATTCCAAATCAAAGGTTTATCGAGGAACAAAAGATAAAGTACCGATCTTTGCTGAAAAAGAACGAAGAACTTTGCGACTAGAAAAGGAAAATGGTGATAAAGAATGCAATTCAAGAAAAAGTTTAGCTTGGGATCATGCATTTTTAACAAGCCCTGGTATGAACATGCCTTTTTAATCTTACATGTTTACGATTTTTGTAACTTAAACGTGTGTACGATTAAGTAATTAATCCTTTTGACTGTCGTGACTGTTTAAGGTTTCCTTGAACTTGAGGAATTGTGTCTTGTGAATAGCGGTTTCAAGAATCTTGAGGTATCATCTTCACTTGGAAATGAAGATAATGTGAAGAGGTGTGTTAAGTGACTTTGACTAAACTTTTTGAAGTGTTAATGATCCCTTTGAATGCAAGTAGTAACTGTTTATTTGGAAATTTGCAGTAAAGTTTGCCAGGAAAGAAAATTAAGTCAGAAACTCGGCGTTGGATCTGCTGGAAAACAGAAATGTCAGTGTAAGTAGACGCTTACTCGTTACAGATGATGTATGAGTCGTATAACCTGTTCTGATGGACTAGTTTTGTGCTCTGCATGACTTTTGTTTTTGAGGTAAACAGTGAAAGAATTTTTTTTTTTTTTTTTTTTTTTTTTTTTTTTTTTTTTTTTTTTTTTTTTTTTATCTCAGCACTGTATTCTGAATGTTACTTCTGTCCAATGAACTTAGTATGTCTGATAGATATTAATCGCGATTCAAAGAAAGTAACCTTCCCTGCTTGTAGTTGCTTCCAACCATTACTTATTAACCTGTTCTGATGGACTAGTATTGTGCTCTGCATGACTTTCGTTTATAAGTGAAATTGTGAAAGCATTTTTTAATCTCAGCACTGTATTCTAATTGTTACTTCTATCCAATGAACTTATTATATCTGATAGATATTAATTGCGTTTCAAAGAAAGTAATCTTCAATGCCCTGCTTGTAGTTGCTTCCAACCATTACTTATTCTCTGTCACACTCATGATATTCTTTCTTATTGCGCTGTCTTTTCTCTTATGGCCTTTTACAGCATTGATGAAAACAAAAGTTGCGTCTCCAAGCAAGGTAAGGTTTATCAGATAGTGTTTTTGCTAGAAACATCTATAAATGACTTGAGCATAAGTGCCTATTGCTTTTTTTGGACTTTCAGATGGTGTCGACAGAAGGCTCCATACGACAACAGATGGCTGTTGGAAGATCAGAGACGACATCAAGATCAGCTGTTGCTAAATCACAATCTGTGAGTTGACTGACCACTTATCACATTACTGATTTACTGATTAGGTGCATCCAGGACCGTTGGACTGGAATATTTAGCTGAACTTTTTAAAAGCATCCAACTGAAAAGGTTGAGGCTGATAAGGACAGTTTCTGCTGTAGCAAGATATTTATGACTATATCAGCAACTAGCAAAAAATCTTGAAAGCATTATGACTAACTAAACTTACTTTGAATTGATTAAGAACATTATTAGCAGGAAAGAACCTTTAAAGTCCGCCGGAATCAGGAGCCAGACTAGAGTCTCTAAGGTGCATGACAAAAAACCACCTCTGCGAGCAATCAGCAGAAATGGTAAAACTGAAACTAAGAACTTATGTAGTGAATCTAACTTTATTTACTACTCCATCGGTCCCATATTATTTTGCGTAATTTCCCTGAGTCACAGGATATGTTACTTGGCCTATCACTACAATGCTAGTGCCAAACCTAACGCAAAATACATGGAAAGGAAGGAGTATTCATTTGGATTCGTTTATTATCTAATACTGAATTAACCATAACTATTACAGGACATGGCATGTTGGCTCCCAAACTACCAGATTTAAGGAGCTCTAATTCTATAATATCCTCCCAATCTCTCTTGCCTTCATATGCTACTAATAGGTCGATTGATTATTCTCCAAGTAAAACTTCCATGGATAATTTACAGACTGCAAGCCTTCTGGAATCACAGGAGATGCCAGGTAGTTTCACAAATCAGATCATGTTCCCATTATTTATTATGCTAAACTGAACCTTTTGAGCTACTCTCGTATGTACACGAATCTAATAGGCCTAATTACATACTTCATTTTGAATACTATATAGGACTATAAGTGAATGCATTGTTAATCTTATTCTTCTACTAATCTACTTCAGATGGTAGTATCACTTATGATATTAAGGCTTCTCAAACAATGAACTTAGTAGCCCATCAGAACAATCATCAACTTCATTCTTGCACCAAACGAAGTCTTGGACTGGATGCTTCAAAACAGAATGACACTACAGAAGCAAAGAGAAGTCCCTTTTCATCCAAGGCTTCTAGTCTTCGTATGCCATCCCAAAAGATCGGCTTCTTTGACATGGTCAGTTTCTTTGGACAACTCTTTAAGTTCATATACAGTTGGAAAAATCTGAAAATGAGATTTATTAACAAGCTCTCTTCTTTTAGAAATTTCATAAGCCAGAGATTAAAAGGCATGATCAAGATGGTATGTCTAATAATAAAGGGCAAAGGAAGAAAGATGAGGCCTCCACCAAGAAGCAAACACATTCTCTTGGATTCGAGGAAAAGGAAAACATTTTCCACCCTGAGGATACTGTGATTGAGCTTGAACTAAAAAAAGGTTCTCCGTCAGCTTCTCAGTTGGCTGCTAATGGCTCCTCACCAAGTTCTGGTCAGTGCTCATCTACTTCCAAGAAAAGCCACACTAAAGTTCAGAGACCAGCACGGCAAAGTTTGTTCAGCCCAACTCCTCGCACTAAGACATCAACATCAATTCCCAAAGTTTCTCCATTGAAGAAAAGTGCTTTCTTTTAAACTGAGCAATCCCAAAGGAAATGTCCAAGAAGGTAGATAACTTAGATCTAGGTTCACCTAAAAACTTATTAGACGTTTTGAAAGACTCTCATTTAACTGTGGGTTGCTATCATAATGAGACAATTGAAGGCGAAAATTAGTAGGCTGAGATGATGTTTACTTGTACCAAGGTGAAAAAAGTCTTAATGAAAAGTTCGAGCATTGAGGAGGTCGATTATGTAAAGCCAATAGAGCTAATCTATAAATAATGATTGTTGATTCGGATTTTGGTCCAGAGCATCTTCTTGTAATGATTCTTCTAGCCATAAGTATAATTTTGATATGTTTCCATTTTTTTTCCCTTGACAAAGACCATTGCACATGTGGGTTCATGCATTATTTTTCCTAAAATGGGACCATTTCACATGGTTCAACAAAGCTTCAACTTGAAAGTTAATTTAACAACACTTTGTCTTCACCTCCTCAGTGCCTGTTCATCGTTCATCATGACGAAGTTTATACAACATATCCAGTGTCCTAGAACACCTTTTGCATCACAGAATTATATATATTAAACACCGTATGTTTAGGTCACTAAGGAGATTTTTCCTCCTCTAATGCTCCTATCATTAGAGGTCTTTTAAGCATAATTGTTGTATTGACTGAATTTTTTGTTTGTTTCGACAGCATTAATTTGGCTTAATCGAAGGTCATAATCAAGAATAATGTGAGATATATATAGCATTTTGTATTAACAAAAAATAAGACACCTGAGTGGTGCTTAGCCTTTGATGTATAATAACTGAATGCAGAGTATAATCTATGGCAGAATAAATACTATTGACAGGAACAGACCAACTTATAATGTTGGGGGTAATTTCCTGTTACTTAGAATTTTCCATTGTAGTTACCAAATCAAACACAACTTATTAAATAATACGCATTCCAGGATAACCTCTAATGACACAAAGAATATTCACTAATATGGAGTCAATTGTGATGAAAGTGCAGCAACCGATATGTCAGTGCACTTAGACTTACGAAAGGAACTTACACCCAGACTCCCAGAGGCTTTCAAGGGCACATTCTGTCTGGACCATCTGTAGACCTATGCAACTAAGTGATTCAGAATCAGAAAACTGTTTCGACACATATAAGATATAACAGTAGAAAAAGAGAGAAATTATGAATAATCAGACAACTGATGATGTAAGACATGTAATTAGAAAACTGGTTAGCCTAACTAACTCCCAACTGGTCTTACAAAAATTCCAAGTTTAAATTGATGTAGCTTTATACTGACATTCTGACTGCTGTAATATTAGGAAATATAACATTGATGTGATATATAAAAGTCTTCCTTTGTTACTTATTACTTATTAGGGTGGATTAGAAACATCAAACAGTTCAATACTTAAATCAGTTACATTAACTTGCTTTGCACTAAATGTACTTAAACTCCATGAATACAATCTTTATAAATGGCACAAGGAAGCCTTGATAACTCATAACATAGCTACATACTAGGGGCACTCTACGGCTACCTAGCATGAAGCATCAGTATGTACTGAAACTATTACTATAAAGAACAACAATTCTTTAATGATAATCGACGTTTAGAAATGGAAATCAATTTTCTGAAGCGTAGTAAATGTATTAAAACCCATAGGTACACATGTACTCCTACAGAAATTTCGGTGAAGAACTTTCAGAAGAAGAAATCTCATATCATCATGTTCTCACAGTACAACTTACCAAAAACCAATAGTCAACAATACTTGCAGTTACTATAAGTTTGGGTAAGAAAATCACAAAACACCAGCAAATATAGTAAGGCTACGATTCATGAACCAGTATGAGCATATGCTTGCTGACATATAAACAAAATGGACTTACATTTTCATTGATGAAGTTCAAATTACTATCATTGGGCAAAATAACAGCGATCTTTCTATTCTTAATCAACTGCACACGAGCACAACTTCTGATAGCAGAGTTGGGCTGTTTAGCTCCAATACCCCTGCATCAAAAGCTCTTAGTTTATGTTCTCATAAAAACCTGTTTCACCACATATAACTGCAGGAAAGAAGAGAGAAATTACTAAACATCAGACAACTTTAGTCAGCTGCACAGATGTAAGACGTGTAATTTGAAAACTCGATTAGAGAAGCAAGCTAACTCCCAACTAATCTTACAAACATTCCGGGTTCAAATGGTCAAATGGATGTAGCTTCATACTAACAAGTTGGACTTATTAATTGTAATTACAAAAAATAAACAAAAACAGCAGCAGATATAATACATGGCTATCAAGAAAAGATGGATATACTAATACATGTAATCTCAACTTGTTCTATATTGTACATATACCACATCAACAGACGGCCCACCATTTTATCAATGACTCTTTCATCATTAATAGTTTACTCCAATAATTTCTTCATTTGAGTATCTAGACAATGACAGAAAAATATATAAACTCGATCTGCCTGAGATTAATTATCAGTAATGTGACAACTAATTCTCGACAGAACGAAGTAACAAACAGAACATATAAATAAAATTTTCCATATATATTAGTTAAAAATATATTACAAGGGAGATAAAAAGTCGAAATCTTTACAATGTACAGGCACTAAATCAAGTTTGTCATGGCTAATTTTCTTAGCATCTTCTTTTTTATGGACCTTAAAAGCATCATTAACATGGTTGATGATTCATAATTCTGAAGGGAAACCCCTAATAACCCCTATCTAACAAAGTTTAACACAGACAAATCAAAATTCCAGTTTACTAACTTCATGAACAAAATCTACAATCAGCTGTCTGTGTATAATCTAATTTAGCTCTCTTCTTTATAGAAAAGAAACTAAGCTCATCATCATAACTAAGTTCTTTTCCTGGGGTGTTCATCTGTACAAGAAATTTTCACCATCAATATCATCTAGGAAGATATAATAATCCTTGTATCATCGATTTGATTCGATCATCGTTTCATATACAACTCAAAAGCTCAATCATCTTCCTGTTTTCCAAATAATCCAGTTGATTTTGGCGAAAATTTTCATCCCCTATGATCAACCATGTGTTCTTGTTAATTATTTTTTTTTTTTTGGGTAAGGTCACATTATTTATTGGTGCCATGACACAACAATATCACCAAGACCTGACTTCAACTGCTCCCAATGAACTTCTTCTTGATCCCAACCAACTCCACCACCATCCACAACCTTCATCTCCACCACGACCAGCTCGGCCGCCACCTCGGACACCGTCACGGACAAAACAAACCTCCCTTTCCCTAACCATACACTAAAATTCCCACAACAATTCTCTCTTTTCTCAACCTCATACCCCAAATTCTCCCCTACACCCACCACCTTCTCCACCACCACCGCCTTCGGCTCCCTCGACGTAAACCTCTTTTCTCTCCTTCCTTCTGAGTAATCCTGATCAAACATCCCAGACAAATTCAACCCCGACGACATGGTTATAATCTCAAAAGCATTCATACTTTCACCACCACCACACCTCGCTTTATCACCATTGTTACCTGCTGAATCCGACATAGTATTACACCTCTCCAATAACAACATTTTCTTGTACTTCTTCTCCTCCAATGAAGCCATATCTCCAAGGCTAACACTTCTTGGGTATAACATTCCATGATTTTTAAACCAAGAATCATTCGGAATGTCATCAATGCTCAGCCGGCTCTTCGGAATCGGATCGAGGAGCCGGCTGATCAACCCCCTCGCGGGTTTCGAAACCCACGAGGGAAACCTGTACTCCTTCCTATGCATCTTCCGATACATCATCACCAAATTCCCATCATCAAATGGCAGATATCCTGTCAACATAACAAACAATATAACACCACATGACCACGCATCCGCCTTCGACCCGTCGTATCCATTCCGAGTCCTCCCTACAATCTCCGGCGCTGCGAAAGCCGGGGTTCCGCAAGACGTTTGCAACATCATTTTCTCCTTTGAAACAGCCACCGCGCTTTCGGCCACAGCCGAAAGCCCGAAGTCCGAAACCTTAATGTTCCCCTCCTCATCAAGGAGAAGATTCTGCGGCTTTACATCTCGATGCGCAACACCGTTTTGGTGGCAATAATGGAGAGCGGAAACGAGCTGATGAAAATACTTCCGCGCTAACGGCTCGGGAAACCGATGATCAGCGCGGCGCGATAGCTTTCCGAATAAATCGCCGCCCTTAGCGAGCTCCATAACCAGATATATTTTTGATTTCGATGCCAAAACTTCATGGATCTTGAGGATGTTAGGATGGTTAAGCCTCCGCATCGCAGCGACCTCGCCAACGATGCGAGGCTCCATGGAAGGATGAGTTTTAGATTTGTCGATAACCTTAATAGCAACGGATTGATTGTTGGTCAAAGATCGAGCATGGTAAACCTTGGCAAAGCTACCCTTGCCGAGGAGTTTACCGGATTGGTATCTACCGAGGATGGTTTTAGCGGCGTTAGATGATGAAGAAGGTGGAGAAGAAGAGGATGAAGGGGGTTCTGCAACCGCTGCCGCCATTGAAGGAGGAGGAAGCGGAGGAGAGAGATAATAAAAAAAAAAAAAAGGGTGAAAGGAAAGGACCGGCGAAACCAGGTAAATAAAATTGGGTGAAGGCACGGACAAATGTTGAGTGATTGAGGGTAAGGGTTTTATAAGGGACTTTGGTGAGTCATTTTCTTAATAATTTGACAATTTTTATTTTTATTTTTTTATTTCTTGAAAGTTTTTTTATGTTGTTTTGTTGTTTGAAATACCTGAAAAGTCCTTTTGGGGTTTTTTTTTTTTAAAATGGTGTTTTGTGTTTAATAAGAGAGATGTAGGGGATTATATTGGATTATTGGGGTTGGAGTTTGAATTTGAATGAAACTATGAATGGAAAGAAATCAAGAAAAATGGGGTGATGTATGGAAATAAATCAAGACATCTAGATTTTGTTATTTGGGTGTGATATTTTGGAGTTGGAATTTGAATGAAAGGAAAGAAATAAAAAAAAAAATGGGGTGATGCATGGAAAGAAATCAAGACATTTAGATTTGTTGTTTGGGTGTGATATTTTTTGCTTATTATTAGGAGGCTGATTCAACGCTATAATCTGTGGGCTGGAATTTATTTGAAATGACTGTTAGTTATTTGATAAAAAAAATCTCACATGATGAATCAAGTTGGGATAGTTGGGTTTTTTTTAAATGATATTAAATAAAGTAAAGACAAGTAACTTTATGTCAAAATTTGAATTGGAAATGCAATTTAAAAAAAAAAAGAATTATAAATTGGATTAAGTGAGCTATTTAGACTAAATTAACAAAAGACAAACAAAATAAAAACTAAAAAGGCAATGAAAGGAAAGAAAGCAATCCCCCTATTCTCCATATTATGCATAATTTGGCTCACAATCTGTTCTGTGTCAACTTATATGGCTACATTCATCATGTTCATTATAATAGATAATTTAGTTGTATAAATTGCAAACCGCATTTTTTTTCCTTTGAAAAAAAAAATAAATAAATGCACAATGTAAAATTGAGTTAACTATACAATCACTCTCTGAACTTAAATTTAACTTGCAATTTACACACCCAACTCATAAAAGTTGCAATTAATTCACTCACTTTAATCAAATATGACCAACAATAACATGTTAATTCTATAAACTCCCTAAAGTTAAAGACATAAAAGTTTGTAACTCCCTAAACTTTGTTTTTTTGCTATTTTTTAAAAAAAAATAAAAATAAATCGAATAGTCTAATTAGAGTTGGTGTTAATAATAGTTAGAGTGTTTTTCTAATGATCAAACTATTTTAGAAAAAAAGTTATAACATAACCAACACCCTCCCCACCCACCCCAACCAAGCTCCAGCCCCCTAGATGCCAGCTCCCCCATCCTTGGTGTGACGACCATCCCTCCTCCCTTTTCCCCACCCTGAAAACAATCTCCTTCTCAAAACGAACACTTTTCCCGAAAATTGCCCTGAAACCCAAAACTTGTTTGGTTGTGAGTGGAGTGTTTAAGGTTTGGGGTTTTTTTCAAGAGGGGAACAAGGGAGAGGGTCATTTTGGGGAGGGGTTGTTTCAAGAAGGGTCCTTTTTTGGAAGGGGAACATGGGTAGGGTCGTTTTAGGGAGGGGGCCGAGAAAGGGAGTGGGGGTGGTAGTCATC